GGATGGGGGTGGTCAGATGCTGTGGTTGCGATGCTTTATGCCCAGGGGCGGACTGACCATTTGGAAACTCGGGCGCTGCCCGAGGGCCCGGGGGCAGGAGGGGGCCCCATGAGATGCCCCTGGTACCTTTTTCATAGGCTTTTTTGAGTTTGGGCAAGGACACAGGGGCCCCATGATCCCCTATTGCCCGGGGGCCCCATGAGTTGTCAGTAAACCCCTGTTCATGCCCATAGCCAAAACTGTCTAACACGTAGCAATCATCAGCAACCCCATTCAAAAAGACCCATTCCAACAAATGGAGAGTGCCGCAAACAAACAAATGCACAGCAACTGTGTGCATTGCACGTGGTTGCGGGGCGCAACCACGTGCAATGCACACAGTTGCTGTGCATTTGTTCGCATAATTGTCAAAGTAACGCAGTGCCGTAACACAGAAAAATGTCCTGGTCAGGAAGGGGCGCAAATCCTCTGGAGGGTAAGGGGTTAAAGCAGAACAAGATAAACATGAATAGTCCATTAAAGCTGAAACCCCGGCACAAAACATTCACTGAAAATATTCCTCAACAGCCAAAAAGGATATAAAAACACTTTGTGTGCACCGAATGCCTTTTCAAATACAATTATTACAATATAAAAGTAGCAGTGACATTATCACTGTGCAGTCAATAGATGGCTGGGACAAGGGGTGGGCAGAAGGGGCTGTTGCCATCGGCACAGTGGTTTATTGTATGGATGGGGACACCAGCGAGTTTATTCTGATGTAGCAGATATAAGAAGCGCCACAGAAAATGCTAAATAAATCAAATAATAAGCAGCACCTCTAACCAAAAAAGGTAAAATAGTGTACAAATAAAAAGTGCGCTAATTATTCACAAAACATGCAAGGATAAATAATAAAAATAAATGAATTCATAAATATAAACATAAGTCCAGCCACCATAACAGTGATAGTCCAATATCAACTTAATGTCAATCTTGTCTTCTTATTCCTCGAGCTTTGCCCATGTTATTGGAAGATCATTTGCTGCTTAGCTGTTCCATATGTGCTGATTGGATCACTATTGGTTGATGTTCCTCTACTGGGATATCCTGCAGATCATCGCTCCCAGAGCAAAATGCTATCATGCTGGTTTATAATATAATCAGCATATAGTTCTAATGAGTGTATTCATTTCATCTGGTGTCGGATTTGCACACGGGTGTTTGTTTTCAAGATTGACATTAAGTTGATATTGGACTATCACTGTTATGGTGGCTGAGTTTATTCTGATATAAGGCATTTTGACAAGCGGATGACTGTTGGGTGTAGCATCCCCTAAGTTTGCATATAATGAGGGTGGGGGGTGCAGTTTGCCTTCATTGCCCTGGGTGCTGGATGACCTTGTATCCTGAGTAGAGCTGTAGGAGGGGCCCAGAAGCTCCATCTACTACAGGCTGCCTGCAGAAAACTACAGGAGGGGCGGAGCAAGACCAGTCACCCTGCAGGAGGAGAGAGAGCGGCAGTGAGCTGTCTTTATTACAGGAAATCTTATACTGGATAACTGCACAGATCTGGAAAAAATACACAAAGCACATCAAGATATAAGGAAGAATACACAGGATAAATGTATTTAGACAATATTTGTTTATACTGGGGCTCCATGTACACTGCAGCTGATAAACTCACGTTTAGGAGCTTTTCTGTGTTTTTTTTCAGCAGCCCCTGAACTCTCCCTAATGGCTTCCTATGTGTCCATGTACACAGAGTCGTTTACAGGCAGTTGAGTTTACAGTAGTTTTTGAGAATGCACCAAACTTGTGTTCAGGAGTAGATTTTATCAGTGTTTCAAACCCACATGCTTGTAAATGCGACTAACCGCGTTTATAAGTGTTTGTGTTCAGAATTTTTTTTTTAACTCTTCCATTTCCAGATGCTGTTCAGAGCCTTTTTTCATCACTGACCTAATATCCAAGTACCGCCCAGCACGCACACTCCGCCCCTCACAAGACCTCCTTCTCTCTAGTTCCCTGGTCTCCTCCTCCCATGCCTCCAGGACTTCTCCAGGGTGTCACCCATCCTCTGGAACTCCCTGCCCCAACCCATCAGATTATCACCTACTCTCCTCTCCTTTAGGTGCACCCTGAAAACCCATCTCTTCAGGGAAGCCTACCCCACCCCCTGCTAACTTGCCGACCTCCTCCACTCTTCCTACCACTCCATCCCCCACAGCTATCTCCTCCTGTGCCACCACCCCCTCCCTCCTAGATTGTAAGCTCCAAGGAGCAGGGCCCTCAATCCCCTCATGTTTTGCATTGTATTGGTATTGTTCTGTCACATGTTCTGTCCCCCTTTGTAATGTACAGCGCTGAGCGAACTATTGGCACTTTATAAATACTGTATAATAATAATAATCATGAAAAATGTATGCAAAGCGTTTTCCCGGTACTCAAATGGACCCGGTACACCATACTTTGAGGTTTCACATGAAATGAAATATGTTGGACACTGCTGCAATAATTTCTGCACAGCAATGAGCCGGAACACATCCAAACACCACAAAAAAAAAAAAAAAAACAGCTAATCTCAACACATACTGCTCTCTCTGCTTCTGCTCTCTCTATTTCTCTCAAAATGTCTGAAATAGTAATTTTTCACTGTTTTTCAGTGCATTCTGGGCATTTTGATAGGTCTCCTGAGGTTATCTTTAAAAAACACTTCAAAACAGAAACGCGCACAAGCGCCGTATGCAAGCGCGGCAAAACAGACAATTTTGGAACCTACGTTTTCCAGCAGTCAGTTTCCATTGTTCAGAAGTGTCCCGTGTACATGGAGCCTTACATGATAAAATAAGAAAAACAGCTTTTGCTGCAATATTCAGTTTCAGTCCTGAGATTTACCCCTCTATAAAAAAAAATCTGAGCCACTAGATGTCCTCAGCCTGATGACCAGCATCCTACAAACCACCTCCTCTGAGCCCAGGTCGTCCTGGACCCACCCGCAGCCTGTGATTGGACCATGAAAGGAGAAGCATCATAGTAATAAGCTCATCTCTGTTCCGCTCTGCTCTGCCCTCCTATCAGCATGCTTCTGGTCAGCACATGAACTGATTGGATCCTTGTGCTGTTTTCTTTGTCTCACACTTCAGCCCTGCGGTGCAGATATTGCAAGAACTGATACCAAGTAAAATTCAGAACTTACACTGCTTGTGTTTAATAGCTTCCTAAAGCAAATTGATAGCCGGGCGGGATGCTCCTCCTTCTCAGTGGATGTGATATAATGTCTGCGCAGTGGCGCGATCTGTCACCAACTGTGTCCAGTGGATGACTGATCACTACACTGTCCCACTGCCAGTGCCATGTGATGTGATCGCTGTGACCAATCACAGCAGATCACATGACAATTGTATACAACGAATGGCTTCCTTTCATGCCATCCATTGTATACAATTGTGTTGTTATCTGTGACTGGTCACAGCGGTCACATGGTACAGACAGGGCCAATAACAGCCCATCTGTACCATGTGATGAACTTTGGCCAATCACAGATAATTACAACAAAAAGACACAGAATGAATCAGTTTCATTCATGGTTGCTAATATCACTGAAATACATTGGCAATCATAATGTGTAAAAAACAAAAAACTTCTGATCACTTGCCAAGAGTAGTACAATGTTACTATGGTAACACTGTATTGCTATGGTCATAGTCTGTTGAAAAAAAAGTAAAAAAAATGTAATAAAAAAAGAAAAAAAATAATAGAAATAAATTGGAAAAAAAAAAAATTAAATTGACTTTTTTTTTTCTTTTTTACATATTGTGACCAGTCAGTATCCCTGATTACTGCCATGACAGTTATATGATAATGCTGTATTGCACTGGTAACAAAATGTCAAAATTGTGATTTTTTTAAATTTCTTATCTTTCCAAAAAATTGTGACAAAAAATTACAACTTCAAAAAAAACTTGCCATGCCTCTTACTAAATACTTTGGACTGTCTATTTTCCAAAAATGGGTCATTTGGGGAGTATTTGTACTGTGCTGGCATTTACGGGCCTCAAGAAATGAGATTGGCCGTCAGGACTGATCCATTGTCAGATATATATACTATAGTTTGTGGACTCTATAGCTTTCCTACAGACTAAATAATAGACTGATTTTATGGGCAGCACAGTGGCTTATTGGTTAGCACTTCCCCCTGGCAGTACTAGGGTCGTTGGTTCGAATCCGCACCACGTGCCTGGAGTTTGCATGTTGTGCCTGTGTGGGTTTCCTCTGGGTACTCCAGTTTCCTCCCACACTCCAAAGACATGCTGGTAGGTTAATTGGATCCTGTCTAAAATTGTCCCTAGTATGTGTATGTATGAATGTGAGTTAGGGACCTTAGATTGTAGGCTCCTTGAGGGTTAGGGGAGGGTGATGTGTGAATGTACAATATATATATAAGTGTGTGTAAATTGATGGTGCTGTACATGTACCTGAAATAAATACATCAATTTTAGTTATTTTCACCAAAGAAATATAACAGAATACATTTTGACCTAAATGTATAAAGAAATGTTATTTATTTGCAAACTTTTTAACAGAAACAAAGAAAAGCGTTTTTTTTTTTTTCAACATTTTTTAAATCTTTTCTTGTTTATGAAGCAAAAATGTTAAATTTCAGTGGTGATTAAATGCCAATGCCATCAAAAGAAAGCTCTATTTGTGTGCAAAAAAATTTAAGCTGAAAGCTGAAAATAGGCCTGGGCAGGAAAGGAGTAAACGTGCCCCGGTATTGAAGTGGTTAAAAAAATTAATTAAATTATGTATTATTGATTACAGTGGCAATATTTTGTGTCTTTTATATCTGCCTGGAGTTTAGCTTTTATGATACTCAGAGCTTTAGTAAAAATAAATTAAATTCAGTTCAGGTTTTTCTACTCTAACTGAATGAAATAATTAGCACGAGATATTTCTCATTTTGCAGCCACTTGATCTTTAAAGATTTAAACACCTGGATTGGAATAAAATCCACTTACTTGTTCTGTGGGGAGGCTGTCAGGAAGGGGACCCTCTGGAATATTCTCACGCGCCTGCGTAGGGGACGATAAAGCTTCATTATTGCAAATAAAACGTTACCCCTAATTATAACACAGACACACAGGGGTTTATTTACTAAAGCTGGAGAGTCCAAAATCAGACTCCCTTCTGCATAGAAACCAATCAGCTTCCAGGTTTCATTGCCAAAGCTTCATTGAACAAGCTGAGCTTAGAAGCTGATTGGTTTCTATGCAGAAGGGAGTCTGATTTTGGACTCTCCAGCTTTAGTAAATAAACCCCACAATGACATTTTGGATTGTTTCATGCAATCATTGAAGGCGGTTATAAGCACCAGCAGTGATCCTTGTGTTTTCCCTATAGGAGGAATTCCCCTGTAGGCAGGTGCAGTCTGGGGCAGCACAGCGGCTTAGTGGTTAGCACTTCCGCCTGGTTGTACTAGGGTCGTTGGTTCGAATCCCAAACATGGCACCACCTGCCTGGAGTTTGCATGCTCTCCCTGTGCCTGCATGGGTTTCCTCCAGGTACTCCAGTTTACTCCAAATACATGCAGGTAGGTTAATTGGATCCTGTATAAATTGTCCCTAGTATGTATGTATAAATGTGAGTTAGGGACCTTAGATTGTACGCCCCTTGAGGGTTAGGGACTGATGTGAATGTACAATATATATGTAAAGCGCTGTGTAAATTGACAGCACTATATAAGTACCTGAAATAAATAACATTTCTCCACTGCAGGCAGCACTCAACACAGAGGGAGAGAAGTCAGGAGGAACATACTCCTCTATATATATGAATAGTGTAGCACTCATAATAAATACTAAAAAATATATGTGACCAATTCATGCAATACAACCCTAAAAGAATCAAAATTCATACAATATAATGCTTCATAGCAATAGTGTAAAAATATATAAATAGTGCCAAACTTATAATAAAAATATCTGTGTTCCATAATGGACACACGTGTTCACACACTAAATAAATGTATATAGCAAGTGTCTATAAATTGAACACCGTGCACACACACCTACTGCATAAAATAACGCCTAGGTATTTTAAAAAAACCTTTATAAAGGCAAAGGGATAAACATAAAGTGCTATAGTGCAAAAAAGTGTCCACTCTTTCAAAAAATTAATCACAACAATGTCCTTTTAGTGATGGATATAATCATGCAATGTGTAGTGGTAATTGACAAATTCGTGATTGTGCCAAAATATCTTCTCCTATTTGTCTATACTCCTCTACAGTTTCCTCGGTCATCCAGTTGGATGTTGCAATGGCAGCCATCTTGGGTCAAGAAGAGTCTAGTTAAGCTCCTGGTATTGGCATGCATTTTGCGAGTGACTAGTGTAAGGACAGGTCACCCGCATGTTAGGGAAAATTAATAGCTGTAGGGAAAAGTTCCAGACGAGTAGGGACATGCCATTCTTCTGGAATCCTGCCAGACCTCCTCCCACCCTCTAGGACAGATGCTGTTGGCACATCCAAGGCACACTCACCTCTGCCATTGTAACCCATGAGTGTTCCCGGTTGGGTGCCATCCTGTGGGCTGTTTGTGAAGTTGAACTTTGACTTTAATACAAGTTCTCTTTCTGTAACCGGACTCTGTATATTTACTGCCGCTGCACCACACTGCACCTCCCCAATCACCACACGTGGTGGAAGGAAAGAAAATTGCATAATCTGTAGGCTTCTTAGGAATGAACTTGTCATATTTGTTACCTTTTGATCTGCTGCATATACCCCCCTGTGTCCTCTGCACACTTCATGTGTTATCTCAAAGAACCCTCCTAGTTCTACAGGACTGGACTACAGAATGAATAGCCTTTATGTAGTAGAAATCTGAAAGTGGGAGTGATTGAGAAGTTTAGCAAAACACACTAAGCAGGGCAGGGCTGACACCACACAATTTAGATAGAGGGGGTTGTGAGTAACATCAATATGTCTACATAAACAGATTTAGTAATCAACCTTTTAAATAGAATTTTATAAACCTATGAAAGCTGATCTCCTGCCAGGGACCAACTCAGCTTAACATAACCTACAGATCCCTACAATCAATCCCCCAGTAGATTTGAAAATAATTTAAATGGTTTAATTAAGTACTTGAATTCCTGGCCTTATGATGTGCCAGGTTCGAGTGTTCTTTCTTTGGGCCTGCAGGGTCCCTTTTCAGACGCCCACATTGCTCCCAGGTGTCATGTCACCAACTACTGACTGTCCATTGGCAGGGCCATCACAAGTCCAGAAGACTCCATCAACAGAGCGATGATGTCATGATGAGGGGTAGCAGCAAGATCTTGTGGTGGAGTACTGCAGCAGTAGATCACTGCTGTTCACTCTCAAAAGAAGAAACATGAAGGATCATGTGACTATTCACTCAGATGAATAGAAAAGTGTATATGGTAGAGATGGACCACCAGTCTCCACTCCTGAAAGAGGCACCACAGAGGGTCACATGATAACTGACTTAGGTGACTACAGCAATGGGGGGGGGGGGGGGTCTGCAGTGGTGGACCACCAGTCTCCACACTGAAAGAGGCACCACAGGAGGGTCACATGATAACTGACTCAGGAGAGTACAGCAGGGGGGGGGGGCTGCAGTGGTGGACCACCAGTCTTCAGTACTGAAAGAGGCATCACAGATGCTCACATGACAGCAGACTCAGGCAAGTACAAAAGTGTGTGTGGACTGTAGCAGTGGACCACTATCATTCACTCCTGGAAGAGTCAAAAATAAAGTGTTACATGACAGCTATCTCAGGTGGGTGAAATAAAATGGGGACTGCAGAGGTGGTGCACCAGTCTTCATTACCAGAAAAGACACCATACAGGGTCTCATGACAGCTGGCTCTGGTGAGTAAAAAAGTGTGTGTGTGGGGGGGGGGGGGGAAATAAAGGGGAAATAAAGTGGTGGACCAGCAGTCTTTACTACTAGAGTTGCCATGGAAAGTCAAATGACAGCTTGCTCGGATAAGTAAAAATGTGGTAGAGACTGTAGTGGTGGACAACCAATTTTTACTTCTGGAAGAGCCATCATGGAGGGTTACATCACATCTGAATAAAAAAGTAGGGGGCAAGGGAGGAAGGAGCACTGTAGAGGTGGATCACCATCTTTCACTACCAGAAGAGGCAACCATGAAGGGTTATATGACAGATGAGTAAAATAAGATGGGGACTGTAGAGGTGTACCACCGATCTTCACTACTTGAAGAGTCAGCATTGAGAGTCACATGACAGCTGGCTCAGGTGAGTAAAACAATTGTGGGGGGCTGTAGTGGTGTACCACCAGTCTTCACTACCGGAAGAGATGCCACAGAGGTTAAGGCTGGCTCTCGGTGAGTAAAAAAAGAGGAGGACATAGCAGGGAACCACCAATCTCCACTAGCAGACGGGGCCACCACAGAGAATCACATAACAGCTGACTCAGGTGGGTAAAATTTGGTTGGGACTGTAGTGGTGGACAACAAGTCTGCATTAACCGCCAACACCACAGAGGGCTGGCTCAGGTAAGTCAAAAGAAGGTGGAGGGACTGTAGGGGTGAACCTCCAGTCTTCATTACCAGAACAGGCACCACAGAGGGCTGGCTGGCTGGCTCAGGTAAGTAAAAGGAAGTTGGGGGGAACATTTCCCTGGAGATGAGCTTTCATTGTGGGCAATAGCTAGTTGGTAGAAGAATATTTTATATACCCCATGTGTGTAAATTATAAACAGTGTGAGATACCAATTGTTAATCAAGTATTGACTTGTTGCAATACTGCTACATGTTCTTGCCTCCAACATGACGTAAAAGAACAAAAACTGCCCCAAGAATATTCTGAGCCTCAACAGTTCCATGTTGGTACAGAACTGTGAATTCAATCTTTGTCTGTGATGTCACAGGTTCCCAGCCAATCACCAGGCTGCATTTCACGACTAAGCCCATCACATAGGAGTGTCTGCAGTCTGACGGTGTCATACATACCCACTCTCCATCTGGCAGCCTGGTGGGGGCGCTCTCTGTCACATCGTCCATGTTGTTGGTGCTCTGGAATTAAACATACAGTAGGTTAGTAAAGGTGTTACAATGATACTTTTCTCTAAAAACAGCATCTCTGCAGACATATCCACAAACCACATTCCCAGCTCTACTTACATCCAACCTGACCATAGTAAATCCCATTGCAGTTTCAGAAAAAACAAAGACCTGTATCATGCAACTAAACAAATTCCCCCAATCCCTCATCATGAAGTCATCACATGAAAATGTATCAAAAGTTAGGACCTGTGCAACCCCTTCTCCTCCACAGCATGTAACAGCTGTCCATGGTATGGATGAACACAGATGTAGCATGCTTCACTGACAAGTGTTGATACTATGAACGTTTCATGAAACTCCAGAAGAACCAATAATATTCAGAAGAAGATGAAAGCTGAACTTGGTCCAGTTATATTCTGTGTATCCAAGAGACAATCTAGGCCTTTTTTGAAGCAATCCTGGCTGGGCTGGCCAGAACCAACTCTTGAGGGAGTCTATTCCACATTTTCACAGCTCTCACTGTAGAAACCTTTCTGTGTTTGGAGATTAAATTTCTTTTCTGCCAGACGTAAAGAGCGCCCCCTTGTCCTCTGTGATGACCTCAGGGTGAATAGCTCTACACCGAGTTCACTATATGAACCACTGATGTATTATACATAGAGATCATATCCCCCCTTATGTATTATACATGGTGATCATATCCCCCCTTATGTATTATACATGGAGATCATATCCCCCCTTATGTATTATACATGGAGATCATATCCCCCTTATGTATTATACATGGAGATCATATCCCCCCTTATGTATTATACATGGAGATCATATCCCCCTTATGTATTATACATGGTGATCATATCCCCCCTTATGTATTATACATGGAGATCATATCCCCCTTATGTATTATACATGGAGATCATATCCCCCCTTATGTATTATACATGGTGATCACATCCCCCCCCCTTATGTATTATACATGGAGATCATATCCCCCCATTATATGTATTATACATGGAGATCATATCCCCCTTATGTATTATACATGGAGATCACATCCCCTTATGTATTATACATGGAGATCATATCCCCCCTTATGTATTTATACATGGAGATCATATCCCCCTTTATGTATTATACATGGAGATCATATCCCCCTTATGTATTATACATGGAGATCATATCCCCCCTTATGTATTATACATGGAGATCATATCCCCCCCTTATGTTATTATACATGGAGATCATATCCCCCTTATGTATTATACATGGAGATCACATCCCCCTTATGTATTATACATGGAGATCATATCCCCCTTATGTATTATACATGGAGATCATATCCCCCTTATGTATTATACATGGAGATCATATCCCCCCTTATGTATTATACATGGAGATCATATCCCCCCTTATGTATTATACATGGAGATCATATCCCCCCTTATGTATTATACATGGTGATCATATCCCCCCTTATGTATTATACATGGAGATCATATCCCCCTTATCTATTATACATGGAGATCATATCCCCCCCCTATGTATTTACACATGGTGATCATATCCCCCCTTATGTATTATACATGGTGATCATATCCCCCCCTTATGTATTATACATGGAGATCATATCCCCCTTATGTATTATACATGGAGATCATATCCCCCTTATGTATTATACATGGAGATCATATCCCCCCTTATGTATTATACATGGAGATCATATCCCCCCTTATGTATTATACATGGAGATCATATCCCCCTTATGTATTATACATGGAGATCATATCCCCCTTATGTATTATACAAGGATATCATATCCCCCCTTTATGTATTATACATGGAGATCATATCCCCCCTTTATGTATTATACATGGAGATCATATCCCCCCTTATGTATTATACATGGAGATCATATGCCCCCTTATGTATTATACATGGAGATCATATCCCCCCTTATGTATTATACATGGTGATCATATCCCCCCTATGTATTATACATGGAGATCATATCCCCCCTTATGTATTATACATGGAGATCATATCTCCCTTATGTATTTATACATGGATATCATATCCCCCCTTTATGTATTATACATGGAGATCATATCCCCCCTTATGTATTTATACATGGAGATCATATCCCCCTTTATGTATTATACATGGAGATCATATCCCCCCCTTATGTATTATACATGGAGATCATATCCCCCCTTATGTATTTATACATGGAGATCATATCCCCCCCTTTATGTATTATACATGGAGATCATATCCCCCCCTTATGTATTATACATGGTGATCATATCCCCCTTATGTATTATACATGGAGATCATATCCCCCCTTATGTATTATACATGGAGATCATATCCCCCTTATGTATCATACATGGAGATCATATCCCCCTTATGTATTATACATGGAGATCATATCCCCCCTTATGTATTTATACATGGAGATCATATCCCCCCTTATGTATCATACATGGAGATCATATCCCCCTTATGTATTATACATGGAGATCATATCTCCCCTTATGTATTATACATGGTGATCATATCCCCCCTTATGTATTATACATGGTGATCATATCCCCTTATGTATTATACATGGAGATCATATCCCCCCCTTATGTATCATACATGGAGATCATATCCCCCCTTAATCTCCTCTTCTCCAGAGAAATAAATTCAGTTCCTCTAATCTTTCCTCATAGCTGATCTCCTCCATGCCTCTTATCAGTTTGGTTGCCCTTCTCTGTACTTTCTCCAGTTCCCCAATGTTATTTTTGTGAATTGGTGCCCAAAACTGAACTGCATATTCCAGATGAGGTATTACTAATGATTTGTACTGGGGTAATGTGCAAGTTGAGCCTGGATTACATGGCGGAGGAGTGCCACCCGACTGCTTCCGCCTGACAGGCAGGAGAGCAGAGCTGTAGAAGGGTACTCACAAGCCCCACCCACTAAAGGCTGCCTGCAGAAAACTACAGGAGGGGGGGCGGAGACAAGACCAGTCACCCTGCACAACGAGAGATCGCTGGCAATGCTTTACAGGCTCCTTTGGACAAAAATAATAAATGCACATTGTTTCACCTGCAATATGCATTTATTATTTTTGTCCAAAAGGTGAACTTATAAAAAATTGTTGGCAAAAAGTCAAGGCTTCATTCCCATGTACAGCTAGGGGACGATAAAATCAAGCGGCTGAGCTGTGGTTGTAGATGTCAGAATCAAAATGCATGTGTGCTTTGATAGGTTAACAACAGGGAGTAACAAGTCTTCATCAATGGTTGTTAACTCTATCCACCCCAAATTCTAAATTCCAAAACATATTCGAAATGTGCATCAACGCGCCTCAACAATGCATGTCAACGCCAGTGCCAGGTCAAGGGTGAAGATGTCAAACTGCACCCCGCACCCACGATGTGTTACCATCATGTGTCAGCAAAAATCCCCCCCCCCCCCCCAAAAAAAAAAAAAACAATTCAGCACTTATTTGTACACTCACCTAAGCATAAATTCCCTTTGCAAGCTAATCCCCCGCTGCTGAAATCCCCCCCCCCAGCACAAATCTTTGCCCCCCCACCATCCTCCCTCACAGCTCAAATTCTCCACCCCTCAAATCTCATCTCCTAACACACATCCCCCTCCTCCCCCCACAAAAAACTACCCCTCGTAGCACAAATACTTCCCTTCCCCCTGCAAATCCCCCCTCCTAGCACAAATCACCCCCCACCTGAAATCTCCTCTCCTGGCACAAAGGAGGGGAGAGAGCACAGTCAACACAGCAGGAACAAGTCAAATTTCGATTCATGTATGGCTGTTCCTTTTCATGAGAAGTTGATCTATTGATTGACTTTTCTGCTGGAAAATGGTGATTTTGATTGCTCTGATTGGCTGCAAGCACTAATAAGTGTATTCTGACGGTTGGGGAGTCCCCCTATCAGCACAAAATGACACAGCGGAGAGGATTTCTCCATCCATTTCGAATGTGAGGATGGGGAAATCAGCTCATTCAGCTGGCTGAATGACAAAAAAGGAGCCATGTATGGCAGCAAATCTAATAGGCATAATCTAAATGCCCCAATTACTCAACTAAATCTGTAGTCATGTGACGTGCTGGGTCCCAAACCTCCCATCTTCCAGACTGTGGAGCAGGAGTGTCCTTCTCCAAGTGCCCATGTTGCTGAATAAGTGATGGGGACACTTCCTAATGGCTGTCCAGCAGGTCCTCTCAGGCTCCAGAGGACTGTATGTGAGGAAATTACCATGAGGGCGCCAGTCTGGCTAGGCATGGACTTCAGCACTGGTGACCAGTCTCCACTGGAACATGTAATGGAAGAGTCAGGTAGGTAAGAAAGGGGATTTAGGAGTCTTTTCTTAAGTGGATGGAAGGCAGGAATGGTTGGGGGTTTATATGTGCCTTGTGAAGGAATCACCTGTCAGCCGAATGGGTGGTTCCGTCAAGAACTGCTTCTTTGCTGCTGGGACACAGGACCAATGTTATTATAGCTGGGCATCGCACCCAAGACTATGCAACGCTAGCTTAGATACAAAAACTGGAACTCTTTATTGGACAGAAATACAGGTTTTTATACACTACTGTCAGGGAAGAAGATTGTCGCAGCTGCGCACACGTGCATGTGCTGACGAGCATAGGTGGGCTATTTAAACCCCTGCTACAAAGAGAATGGTGCCTTCTGGTCTACTACTTTCTGTCTCCTGTGATCTCCTTGCTTGATTCCTGACAATCGATTGAACTCCACCTGCACTGACCCGGCTCTCCCTTTGACTATCCGCTTGCTTGCTCCTCTGTACCTGATCCGTTTGATTGATCCTGACCCGGCCTGCCTGACTATTCTATCCTTGGCCGACATGGTCATCCGCATCTCAGCTACATGTCTCTGCTGCGCCTGCTCACCTGCATCCTGCTACCTGCATCCTGGTATTCCGGCTCTCCACCTGCCAGCTGTCACCGCAAACCCATCAGGTACTCG